ATTTTCAGCTTTTCTATTTTTATTTCATGTTGCTGGCAATGACTGAAGTTGTTTTTAATCAGCATTATTTCCTCAATGCATGTTTCTTCCCCAACTGGTGCTATATTTTCTTCCGAACATAAGTGTTTGTTCGACTCTATCTGGGTACACGGATTTACTACGTTTCTGTATTTCAAACCATTCACTAATTATAGTATAGGTGCTGGTTAATTTTTTTATATTTTTCAATAATCTTGTAATAGTTATACGTTTCTTTTTCTATTAATGGTATTTCTAAAATAAAAACTAGTTTATCTTTATCTATATAACATTTTAGGATAATTTTACGTTCTAATTTTAATAAGTTATTTCTTGTTACTGGGTAAATAGTTTGTGCATTTTGTTCTATAGTTTTAAAAATGTTTAGTAATTCTGTAGAATTAATGATAGATTGATGTAGGGTGCGTAATTTACTGAATGCTATGGCTGTTTCAATTTCCTGGATATTTTCATAAATGTAACGAAAGTTATTAAGAATTTGATAAAGGCTATACGAATGACATTGTTAGTTTTTGACTCTAGTTTGTCAACTTGTTTAAACTTAAAGTGCAAGTTTTCAATGTTACTATTGATAACCTCAGATACATTGGTTAACGCATTAAACGCTTTTTGCATTGACGATACTTTACGTTCTGCTAAGTTTTCTTTAACTCTCAAATTTGCGATTTCTTCGTTGAATTTGATGGCATCTTCTTCATCTAAATTACCTGATATAATTTTTATTATGGACCCCAAAGGACTCATAATGGCTCTTTTTCTTTCATGGATAGGACTTATTTGATCGTATTTGTCCTGAACTAATTTAACTAACCAGTTTATTTGTTTTTGTATAACTAATAGTTCTTTTTCTAGGCTATTCTCTGTTATAATTGTATTAATTTTGTGGTATATATTTATATTATTATTAATTTGTATTCCTAATACGTTTATCTCTACTGTTTTAAAAAAAAAGAAAAAAAAAAAGAAAAAAACATTTATTCACGGTCTAATCACAATAGATACAAAACAAAGCAAAAAAATGGAATTAAACAGAAAGTAAAACAACATTTCCCTTGATTAACAAAAATGTAAAAATAATATAAAATGAGTCTGTGTAGCAGCATAAGACCGTGAAATGGACAGGAATTAGTAAAAATCGAGATACAGAAACACAAATTGCTCTGATCCCGACACTGGTTTTCAGCCCGGCCCGCACTCCGAGGTAACTCGGACGGCTGCCTAAGTGCACATGCTATAATGCGACGCAGAATATATAAAAAATATGTGTTTTTAAATTTTATTCACATGAATAGTGGATATCATTAGTCTAATGAAGGTAAGTACACAATAGAATTAACGTTTTCCTTCTAAATATATCAATTTTATTTAATAAGAATGCGGAATAAACGTTGGCTAAAGAATAAAGGTAAGAAAATGATTGTCAGAAAAAATAAATTTATTATACAAATATTTAAATAAAATAGTTTTATATATTATATAAAGTGGAAATTAAAATATCTACATAATTTATGGGACTGAGATTGCTGACGTGTTGAAAGAACTTAACCTCCTACCAGTTTTTTTTATAGATCGGTATTTTTTTGTTCCGAAAGTAAGTGTAACCTGTATTTGATTTTAAACCCACTAATTGTTTTCAGGTCACGCAGTGGAGGCGGGAGGTTATTCCAACATTTAGTGGCATTATATTTAAAACTACCTCTGAACGCGGCCGACCGGTAGAAAGGATATACTAACTTGTAATTGGATGATCTGGTATTATACTGCTTATTTTGATCTTTAGACCAAATCAACTTATTATATAAATATAAAGGTTCTTTATTTTTAATAACTCCAAACAAAAGTGATGCAAAGTGTAGTCGCCTGCGACAGTCCATTTTTAAAATATTAGCGTTATTAATGAAAGGGGTTACATGTGCACGTGGTGGTACATTGAAACAAAAGCGTACACAGGCATTCTGTACCCGCTGTATTATTTGCCGTGTTCGAGATAATAGTCGTGGGACTATGAGAGAATCCGCGTAATTGAATTTTGAAAGCACGATAGACTCGCAGAGATGTATACGTAAGGTGACACTTAGGTACTCACGAATACGATAAAGTACTTTCAACCTATAAAAGCAGTTACGTGCAATATCCATTACATGTTTCTCAAAACGAAGTTTGTCGTCCATTATTACCCCTAAATTTCTGACTTCAGAGACTCTCACAATAGGTTCGTTGTTTACAATAATGGCAGGGTGGCTTAGTGTGATCTTTTTTATTTGATTTGGCGATCCTAGAATAAGGTACTGCGACTTTTTTGGATTGAGAACCAATGCGTTACGCTCTGACCACAAAGATATCCGACCCAAATCCAAGTTCAATTTTGTCACTGCTACTTGAACATCACAAGGCTTAAACGATATATATATCTGTAAGTCGTCAGCGTACATGTGGTACTTACAATTCTCTATATTTTTAATAATGTCTGCACTATATATTATAAAAAGTAAGGGACCTAAAATGGATCCTTGCGGTACTCCTCGGTTCATAGGTCGCTCCCCAGAAATAGTTTTACCTTTTCCATTTAATTGTATTTCAACTTGCTGTGACCTATTTTTAAAGTAACTGGCAAACCATTGGGTTGCGTTTCTGCTTAAACCATAAAAATATAATTTTGAAAGATGTAATGGGATATTGAGGGTTTCAAAGGCGCGCGAGAAATCAAGTAATGTTAAAATAGTACCCTCACCACTGGCTTGTGCAGTCAGTATATCATCCACGACCTCTATAAGCGCTGTGGTAGTGCTGTGTTTCTTTCTAAAGCCAGACTGCAGCTCAGGAAGGATGTTATTTGCTTCAAGGTACTTTGTTAGCTGATTACATGCAAGCTTTTCTATTATTTTAGAAAGGCATGGTAGAATACTAATTGGCCTGAGATCCGACATAGAAACAGGGATACTAGTTTTTGGTATAGGTTTAACGATGGCTTTTTGCCAGAGATCCGGATAGGTATTTGTGGCAAAAGATTTATTAATTATGTATGTTATTTCTGTAATAACATCTTTAGGTAATAACTTTAACATATCAAGAGAAATGCCATCGCACCCCACTTCATTAGACTGCAAAGAGTTTATAACTTTAACAACCTCATCCTCCGAGGCTTCTTTGAAATAAAAAGAGTTATCATTAGTGCCATTAAATTCAAAGAAAGTGAGAAGAGACAATGAGACGTCATTTTTACCAGGAATATTAAGAAAATGATTGTTTAAAGCATCAGGGTCACTGAAATGGGATGGCAAAGAAGTATCCTTACTTTTTATTTGAACTTGGTGTTTAATGTGCTTCCACATTATTTTAGGTTGATTTAGTTTTGAATTAATATAAAATTTGAAGTAGGCAATCTTTTCTGAAACTATCGCTTTATTAACTATTGATTTTAGTTCCCTATAATAATCCTTATGTGGAGCAAGTTTTGTTTTCCGGGCTCTCACTTGAGCCTCGTTGCGTGTCCTCATCATACATCTTATGTTATGCGTTATCCATCGATAATACTTTTTTTTTATAAAGACAGTTTTAGGAGGGGCGTGAAAATTAAAGATATATAATAATTCTTTGTTAAAAGAATCAATCATATCGTTTATGTTATCCGACGATGCACAGTGCCAGTTAATTTGTTTTAAATCTTGGTTGAAAAGGTTTATGTCTATATCCCTTAAAGATCTATACGTGACGCTTTCAGGCTGAAACTAAGGCTTGGGAATGTCAAGTTCACATACAATAAAGGCATGGCTACTGAGGTCACTAATATAGTCCACACTTATATATGACACCGATGCATCTGAACATATAACATCTAACAGTGTCTCACTATATTCAGTAAAGTGTGTTGGTTCCTCAACATATTGCACGAGGTTATTGCATGTTAGGAAGTCCGAAAGCATTTTGGTACTAACACAATTTTTATTCAAAATGTCGATATTAAAATCCCCAAGCAGCACTGTTTGATCGTAGCCTACAAAAGAACCTAAGGACTCGCTCAGCGCGTCCAGAAATAATGTAACGCTCAACCATGGGGGACGATAAGCAGTACCGAAGACAAGGGACTTGCCGTTAATTTTAATATTTAACCACATCTGCTCCACCGCGGGACAAATAGGATGTTGAATAATTTTTGACGGCAAGCCCCGTCTCAAATAAAAACCCACACCGACGCCACGCGCACGAACTTCGGGAGGTCGGGGTACGTGAAGCAGTCGATACCCTGGAACAGAAGGCGCCCGGCCTTCCTCCCCTGTCCGAAGCCAGGTTTCATTGATAGCCATTATATCTACAGAGTGATGCGCCATAGCAGCTAGGAATTTGTCGTGCCTAGTACCAAGAGACCCGGGGTTCAAGAAGCCAATTTTCAACTTATTTAATTGAGTCATTTTCAAAGAATTTATAATAATACGAAAACGTTATAAAATTAATAATAACCCAAACAAAACCATAATAGAGGAGACTATGATACCACTGCTTATGTACCGTCAAATACATTTCTATGTATGGGCCACAGTTATAAGTTATAAATAAACATAATTGATTGGCGAATATATTATCCGACAATATCCTGTCGTCATTTCCCGTTATGCTGCTACACGTTAGAAAGCAAACATTAAACAGGTCACCATATTCACTATAACAAAAGACAAAAAATAAATGTGATAATATTAAAAGTGTAACTACAAAATAACAATCAAAAAATTTACTCCATACTCCATAAACGTATGCAAAGCAACTTAACAAAAATAAAATGTAACCTAATAATAACATGTAAATAAAATGTAGTCTAAATAAAAATAAAATGTTCTCGTAATAGCAGCTACGTAGATGCGTAGGGGAAACAATCATTGAGAAATAATTATAATCCAGACGACAGCCAAATTGATATCGTGCAAGAAGTAACATAAAGAACAAGATTAAAATTCGTTTCAAACTATTCAATCCCCAAAAATTTTGTTTATATCTATTTCTGTTCGAATTCTATAACGGGGTGAGCCAGAATCACGACGCGCAAAAATGCATCCTTCCCGCGTCCACATATATCTCCAGCCTTTGCGGCGCCCTTCTTCCCGTGCTTTATAAAATAATTGCCTATTGATTGAGGTGTGCCGCTCATTAACATAAAATCGGCGCGGCTCGCCACCTAGGTTCAAACCGGCAGTATCCGCCCCCCGCCGAACGCGCGCTTCGTGAATTAGTTTATCTCGAATCACTCGACGAGCGAGACGGACAACTAACGGACGCGGCCTCCGCTTGTCACCGCTGCCTGGTATTTCCTCGCGCCGCATGCCTATACGCCTTGCACTTACAACATCGCGCTCATCCAATTCAGTGCCAATTTTAGCCGCAAGCATAGTGACGAGGTGTAAGGGGTTTTCGCCCTTCTGTTCTATTACACCAGATATTTCCAGATCGTTTAAAAGTAATTCTTGATCACGCTCGTTAAGTCGACACTTTAACTCCGCTACGCTATCTTCGACCTTGGACCCTCCAGGTTGACTCGTCAAGTTAGTTGCCTGCTCCTCAAGACATGCGATCCTTTTCTCGACGTCGCTAACCCTATTACTTATTTCACTAACATTAGAATTAATGTTAGTGATTTCCTGGCGAAAAGATACCATTTCGCGGGCAATAGTAGTCAACTGCTCGCGTATTAATTTTAGCTCATTTGCTAAGTCGACATTAGTTTCAAAGCGCCCTCTAGCGTCGGATCCAAGCTGTGCATCGCCGAACTCTGTGTCCGTGCCGCCCGAGCTACACGAACTAGGCGTAGCAATTGTGTTCACCCCACTCGCACATACATTTTTTGCCTTACAACCGCTGCATTGCCATTTATTTGATATTCGGCCGTCAATAGGAATACTAGCACATTTGCGATGAAATAAATGAGTGCAACTTGAGCATTTTGTCGAGTCTATTGTAGAAGCAAAACGACCACAGGCGCCGCACTTATTTGCCATTTTTATTGACAAGTACTTTATTTAGATGAAAGTTAGACCAATAGATGTCGCTGTACGAAGTTTGTATTGATTATGTAATTTGATATGTATAACTATATGAGTCTTTAATAATTAGCGATTTACTATATACTATTTACCTTGTTTACATTTAACTTTTTAAGGTTTGTTAAATAACTTAAATGTTTACAGCAGCAATTTGCAATACGGTTTATTGACAAACAGTTGATCCTATTGCGAACAGCTGATCACTATTTTGCACTGTAACAACCAACGACCACTGTTTTCACTTTATTCTACTAATGTATCTTATAACACTACTAAAATTGTTCTTAAATTTACTTGTTTACTTATTTATAAATGCTGTTTTATATTTAAAATAATTTTTAATACGGGACACAAGCACTTGACAGCCGACCAAGCTACCCTCCACACACTGTTTTGTAAACAGTCCAATAACTACTCCTCATCACTGCTGTTCCATATTTCAGCAGGGTTATTCCCGGGTTCCGCTCGAGATTTTGAAGTTCCAGGCTGTGGATCTGATTCACAAGTGCCAGAAGTACCAGCCACGACCTGTGGAGGACGTTTTATATTTTTAGCAGCTACTCTAGTTTTTCTTTTATTTAACTCTACTGGAACAATGTTACGATTTGTTTCACCTATTACTTTTGCTTTTTCATAACGTGGTAATTCCTTAGCTTTCCTTGTCCGAGTTGTTTTCATAAATACTGTATCACCTTCTTTGATTTTTGGTATTTCTTCACCTCCTTTCTTGTCCCTAACTTTGGCTTTATTATCTTAGTTAGTTCCTTAGTTAGTTTTTCTCCAACATATTCGTAGAGTACTTTTAGGCGTTTTCTGTGATCTTGCAATAGCTTTTGCATTAGGTTGTGTTCCCTATTAATATCAAAAATATTACCGCTGTCAGTATTACCGAAAACTATTTCAAAAGGCGTGAATTCCGTTGCTGAATGGATACTATTATTGTATGCCATTATAGCGTATGTCATTACTGAACATGCATCAAGATCACTTTTATCATACTTTGCCAACCTATATATTTCGATTACTGTGGAGTGGAATCTTTCCACTATGGCCATTGAGCTAGGATTATTTGGTGTGCTAATATGAAGTTCTATTTTGTACAGGTTTAAAAGTTCTTTAATTAGTTCATTATTAAATTCAGCTCCTGAATCGCTGTTTATTTTGCGTGGAATTCCTTACATACTGAAATATTTCATTAATGCTCTGACTACTTCTGGTGTACTTCTATTGGGAATGTTTATAGCCTGTCCAAGCTTACTGAAAGCATCAACCACAGTAAGGTAATACTGTTTTTCTATAAATAAAAGATCCATGAAGACTTCTTGGAATAAGAAGTTTTATGGGTTTTCTTTCGTATTTCATTTTTCGACATGGCTCGCATGCATTAATAATGGCTGTTATAGTTTCTTTCATATTTGCCCACCAGTAGTGTCTTTTGATTTTTGCTAAGGTCTCGTTGATACCTCTATGACACGTTTTTCCTTCGTGGTACGCTACAACTACTCGTCTTTGGTCTTGTACTGAATCGGTTAGATTAACTATTCTGTCTGTACATTCGATCAAATTATAAGTTCCCTTTTTGTATAATTCGATTACTATTCTACCAAAAGATTTCCTGAATTCCGCGTTTTCGAAATAGATATAATATTTATGTTTAAAATCAATACATTCTTTAAGAAACTGTTTGACAAGTCTCTCATTATTTAGAGGCATGTGAACTTCTAGTATACGTTGCTTCTTATTTGAAATATCTTTAACAGATATTTTATCAGTAAACCATGTGGAGACTAAAATTTGACGTGGTTTTGTGTCTATAGCTTCATTCAGGATAGGAATCCTTTCATGTTCCCTGTTTGATATTGAGTTAGCTGTGACACCATCGTCTGATAATTCCATCAGTTCCATTGGTGGCTCAACTTCGATATCAGAAACAACTATGGATCTTTCACTTTCTGTGTCGTAATTTGATATAACTGATGGTGTTTTAGGTTTTTTTTTCAAATTGTTACAAATTCGTCGTTTAATTCTTTGACTATTTGTTTTATACGTTCATCTTCTTCGTCTATATTAGCTAGAGTTGAGTCGAGATCGTTGTCTAATGCGTTTAATCTTATTCTTGACAGGGCATCTGCGTTTGTATTTTGCTGTCCTTTTTTATATTTAATTTCAAAATCGTATTCTTCCAATCTAAGTCGCCAACGAGTTAACTTACTGTTGGGTTCTTTAAGAGAGTATAGCCAGGCTAGAGGCCTGTGGTCCTTATAAATAGTAAATTTTTTTCCGTATAAATAGGGTCTGAAATGTTTTACCGCCCAAACTACCCCTAAAAGCTCTTTTTCTATAGTACTATATCTAGTTTCTGTGTCACTTAATGTCCTACTTGCGTAGGCTATTGGTTTATCGTTTCCAATTGTGCCTTGTGATAGAACCGCTCCAATAGCATAATTGGATGCATCGGTTGTTAATATGAAAGGTTTTTCAATATCTGGGAATTGTAATAATGGAGCATTTGTTAAAAGTTTTTTACAGGTTTCAAAACTTTCCTTATATTCTTCGTTCAAAATTATCTTATTACCCTTTTTTAAACAAACTGTAAGAGGTCTTGTTATTTTCGCAAAGTCTTTGATGAATTTGCGATAGTAACCGACTAATCCTAAGAAAATTTTAATTTCTGTCACTGTTTTTGGAAGAGGGTACTTAAGTACAGCATCTATTTTATCTGTATTGGGCTTGAGGCCCTCATTAGTTATTGTATGACCTAAGTACAACACCGCTTTTCTTAAAAAATGTCACTTATCCAGCTGTACTTTGAGGTTTGTTCTTCTAAATCTTTTAAAAACGGCTTTAAGTTTTTCTATGTGTTCAGGTAAGCTTTTTGAGAAAATAATGACATCGTCCAAATAAACTAAACAATGTATTCCTTGTAGTCCTCTTAACACGTTGTCCATTGGTCTTTGAAACGTAGCAGGAGCTGTCTTCATTCCAAAAGGCATTCTATTAAACTCATAGTGAACGAAAGGTGTACTAAATGCGGTCTTTGATCTATCTTCTTCTCTGACTTCTATCTGGTGATAGCCTGACGCTAAGTCCAGTGTTGTAAAATATGTACTTTTACCTAACATGTCGAATAGATCGTTAATGTTGGGCAAAGGATATTTATCATCAGTCGTAATGTCGTTTATTCTTCGATAATCGATGACCATTCTCCATTTTTTGATACCCGATGCGTCTAATTTTTTTGGTACTAGATGAACCGGTGCACTCCAAGGAGAGTGAGATTCCTGAATAATGTTATCTTTTAACATTTTTTCTACCTGTCTTTTTATTTCTTCCGTTTGGTCTGGTGGTAGACGGTGAGCTTTAATATTGATTGGATTCTCGTTTTTAGTCCTTATCTCGTGTTTTACTTCATTAGTAAATGTTAAGGGTAAATGTTCGCAGTAGAAGATGTCTTTATATTCTCTACATAATTTTTCTATCATATTTTTCTCCTCTTCATTCATATGATCTAACCTCAACTTTTTTAAATTTTCATTAAGTAGTTCGTTTACATCTCGGTGATTTGCAAAATTTAAATTTGTTTCATTGTTTTTCTTTAATAATGTGGCTATTTCAAATGGTTCCACTGTAAAAGGTGACGTAACTACCAGTTTTTGTTCTACGTCAGTACAATTTTGTATTACTGTGGTAGCGAGACTATTTTCACACTTAACCAAAGCTGTCGGCATTCTAACACCTTCGCTAAATTGTACGTGATTCAAGATTGCTTCTCCTTTACTTAGGTTTACTGGTAATGAAACTCTAAGTTCACATCTTGGCGGCAACATATACGTTTTTTTTATCGGTGGTGAATAAATTATAGGAATTTTAGCATTTTTTGTAATTAGAGTTAAATTTTTCATATCGATAGAAGCATCTAAAACTTTTAATAATTCGCTTCCTATTAAGCCATCATATCTTTCGTCCACACTATAAACATAAAATTTATGTTTTATTTGAGTTTTAAAAATGCTAGGCAAGGTAATATAAACAACTTCCTCATGTCTACTTGACGCATGAGTGCTGATGACTTAGAAAGGCTCGAATAGCTTAAAACTTTTATAATAATAATTTGCTACCTCCGGGCTGATAAACGATCTTGTGCTCCCCGTGTCTAACATGAAAACCGCATTCAATTCTGGTATACGTATATGAGGCAAATTTAAAATTTTTGTATAATTAATCTCTATTTTTTCCGTATTGTTGAGGCTGTTATAAAAAAATTCCTATCTGTTCATATTCCCTATCGGCCAAATAAGCGTTAAAATCACCTTGGTTTTGCGAGGTACTTGGTTGAATATTATTTTCAGTGTTTGTATAATTTACGCGTCTTGAACTAGCTGTCCTCATTGTGACGTCAGTACTTGAGTTCGACGACACATGTGGCGCTTGATATTGCATATTATTCGTTGCGTTTCGCGAAAAATGCTGACGGTGTTGCGCCGATGACGGTCGTACTGGCGACCTAGTTGCAGAGTTCGTAATTAAGTTATTTCTATTGTTCATTGTATGATTATTCCCGAAGTGAGGAGAAATATTATTTGAATTAAATGAGCTATTTTGGTTATACGATGGATGGCCGTTTGTTTGAGATTGACAACTTGCGCCTTTATAATTACTATTACGGTTAAAGTTAGGATGATTTTGGAAATGGTTTTGTCTAAAATTTTGATTAGATCTTGGGTTCCTATTATCATAAACTGTTTGGAAGTTCTGTTCCTCTAAGACTATTTTTAATGCATCTTCTAAGGTAGTAATATTACGTAGTCTCACTAATCTCACTAAATAAGCAGGTAAATTGTATAAAAAACATTCAATGCCGTGTTGTCGTATATAGTTTGTTTAGCTAGTCGTAAGTCTCGGTTATTAATAATTTCGTTTATTTTAGAAAACAAAATGCATTTTAAATGTTCTAC